TGCACCATGCACTATGCACTATGCACTATGCACTATGCACCATGCACTATGCACTATGCCCTATGCACTATGCACTACGCACTACGCACTAAGCACTATGCCCTATGCACTATGCACTACGCACTACGCACTAAGCACTATACACTATGCACTATGCACTATGCACGCTGCACTATGCACTATGCACTATGCGCTATGCACTATGCACTATGCACTATGCACTATGCACTATGCGCTATGCACTATGCGCAATTAGTATGCTTTTGGTTTGGAAATGGGGTATTTCGTGTGTAAGCTCACGGAGACAGGCTGTTGTTTTCACCGGCACAGCTGGTTGCTAGGTTAAGAAAGTCTCGGATGTGGCAAAGTTCCCGGCTGTCCGCTCGCACCTATAGCAAAATATGGTAAAATTCGATGACAGCCTGCGTATTTTCGAATTGCAGAGCGCCATTTTTTTCATGTATACGGCAGTCGGCGATATGCGTACGTATATATAGGCTATGCTGCTCGACATAGTCTCCGGTCGACGATTTTACATTGCAGATTGTTGGAATGGAAGGAACATTCGGATTCTTCATCATGAGTTTGGTGAGTCATGAATCGGAAGTTGTTGAGTTAGCATTTTTGTCCCAGGTCGCTTTTCGCGTAGCCAGTCAGCTTAGGAAACCGTGCGGAAGTGGGCCTATACTACTAAAGGTGACTCATCTATTCACAATCTATCTATACTATAATTTGGCTAATCTTGTGTGTCAGTGTGTCACGTGTGTGTGTGTTTGTGTGTTTGTTTGATCTCGATGTTCTCCGTGATTTTTCACTCAATCGCGCTAACTGAAGATATATTCACAATCGTGCACAGATGTATTGCAGATGGTTGTGTCTGAAAAAAAAATTTAAAAAAGTTTTAAAAAAATGTAAAAGTCAAAATTCAATCAGCACGTACGTGGGAATTATTTCGCGTGTCTTGCCCGCCGCCGTAGCGTAGTCGGTAGGAGCTCGGTTTCATAACCCGAGATTCCGGGTTCGAATCTCAGCTGGGGGAAAAAATTTCTTCTTTACTGTTTTACTCTTTAGTATCTACTTCTGGCACTTCAGCGTTAATTTCAAAAGGTACAAAATAAATGTTACTACATTCATTAAAAAAAAATTTTAAGTTAAAAATTGAAAAAAATTTCTATTTTTTTTTACTAATATTATTATTTACTACTATTATTATTTATTATTATTTTCATGTTCTTTATATTATTCTATATAATTATTGTGATTTTATTGTGATGTAGGCAGTTCGGACTGGAGCGATTGTGGATCGGGCATGGGGGGATCTGCGTACGACCTGCCGCTGGATCAAATCGGATCCCATGAGAATGGGACATAGGATGGGATGGGGCATGGGATAGGATGGGATGGGATTGCGCAATGGGATGGCATGGTGGCATGGGGTGGCATGAGGATGAGGATGAGATGGCATGGGATGCATGACATGGCATGCATGCAATGACTGCGATGGCATGGATGGATTGGCCGGGATTGCTGGCTCGGAGGATGAACGGAATGCATGGGATGCATACCATAGATTAGATAGATAAATAGATAGATAGATAAGATAGATAGATAGATAGCATAGAATAGCTAGATAGATTGTGTGTGGCGATATTTTCCTAATTTCCAAAAAACCAAGTGGTCACCAACTGAGCATTTTTTCCCTAAAACTCACTTATGAGGAATTTGAATCGCAAACAGCGTTTGTTTCGTGTGCCCAAAAATGCTCTCCTGTCTTGTTTCTGTTTGTCCTGTTTTAAGCTTGTGCATGAAATATTTAACTTCAATGGCCGTGTGTACTTACACGAAGTTTACATTTTAATTTCGCACGAAAAGATGTCGTCGCTCGTTGTACGGGGTATTAGTTCTGTTGTACATATCCTAAGTTGTTCAGACCAAATTTAGTTCGTAACTCGCATAACTAGAGAACTGCCGGCAGCCCTAGAGCCAAGACCAAACCTAAAGATCATTGTTCAGCATCCCAGACGTCTGGAAAGAGGCAGCGGTGGTTCCATAGAAAAAAAAACCGGTGTTAAATTAAGAATGTTAGAAGTAAGTTTTATGCGAGTCAAATAAGATTGCTGTGCGTACAGATTAACATACGCGTCGTTAGGGTGATTGTTTCGATGAGTATAAAAGAATGAATCCTTAACGCGCATGAAATGTGTAATCTACATCGCTAGAACATCCGTCTCCTACACCGTGATTCCGGGTTCGAGTCCCAGCTGGGGAACTTATTTTTCCCTTTTTTGCTTTTTTCCCTTTACTTCCCTTTTTAGTATGTATTATTTTTTATTTTTTACTTTTTACTTTTTATATTTTATATTGAATGTCTTTTATCTTTTGATTTCTTAATATTTTTTACTGTTTGGGATGGGATGGGATGGCATGGGATGGCATGCGATGGGATGGGATGGCATGCGATGGCATGGGATGGGATGGGATGGCATGGGATGGAATGGGATGGAATGCGGTGCGATGGGATGCGGTGCGATGGGATGGCATGGCATGACATGTTATGGGATGGCATGAGATGGGATGAGATATGGGATGGGATGGGATGGGATGGGATGGGATGCGGTGCGATGGGATAGGATGGCATGGCATGGCATAGATGCATGGATGCATGGATGGATGCATGGATAGATAGATAGTTCGATTTTTTTGGATATTTTCCTTTCAACCAAGCGGTCACCAACTGAGTAACGCCACTGATTTTCCCGGGCAACGCCGGATATCCCGCTAGCACTGTAATGTAATTTGAGCAAGAAGTGTGTCACTGCTTATAGTTATCCGGAATATTCGTTTATAGTTGTCACGGAGTTCTATACATGTGTGTTCTGGAGTATAAAAGAGCATGATTGTGAGTACAAGTGTGTGACTACAAGTCCCTGTTAGTGTAGAATAAAGGTAGATGTAAAATATTTACAGGACCGCCAAAGACGCGGGTGCCGCTCGTGAACTAGCTTTTCCAGCGTTCTGCCGTGTATAGACAAAGATGCGCTCTGAAGTAAGAAACGAAACCATGTGCAGTGGCTGTGTACGGCCACCTAATTTCGGTGTTACTCACCAAACAGGGCGCCATACACGAACGACGAGACGATGACGAAGACACAAACGACGGGCCAGCGTTGCGTGAGCAACCTCGTGCGACACGTCGGCATATCGTGCATGCGTGCGTGCGTGCGTGTGTGCGTGCGTGCGTCCAGAGAATCGTGATGTGTAGCGGGAGAAGAACTCTCAATATGCAATGCCAGCGCCCCCTAGCTTTCACGCTCACTGGTGGGACGGTACCCAGTTCTGAGAAGTTACGTGAGCATCTATGATCAATTGATCTTTCAGTGGCCTTCCAGGCCGCATGTCGTGATATGCTTATTGTTGAGAAGAGAGCGAGGTTCAATATATTATGTACTTGCGACCTTCACTTCGCACGTGAATCTTTTATGTAACGATTCCGGGCTCGATAGACGCATTATATATGGAGAGGCTGTTGGCATGTACTACTTTTCACTGGCCTGACGACACGGGGGTGATGATTGATGAATTGGATAACATTTTATATAGCTGCATAATGCAGATCGTGATTTATCAAAATAAACTCATGAATCGATCAAAAAAGGGGGAAAAACTATACATATATATAGATAATCGAGTGATTGTTTTTTTATTTTTATACAAGTATGCTTTACACTGTCCCACACAATAATTACGTTTTACAAACAAACACCACGGTGTATAATCAGCAACTGTGTCATTATCAAGGCCATCATTAAATACACACATCTCTAATTTCTACATCTACGTATCATCGCGACATCGCATCACATGCAATGTCTATGCTACCATGAACATATTATTGAACATATGTATACTGGAGCGTACAGCTATCTTCGCGCAACTACTAACGCGCTCAGAACGTGTCCATATCCATGTTTTCTCAAAATGAAAATTATTTCGGATTCCGTTGTTCTCCCGTTGTATTCATATGGGGTGGTGGCCGGCTTAGTAACAGATGCATCGCCGCTGCTGCCGTTGCTGTGGCTGCTGTTGCTGCTGCGCATGCGCGTAGCCACCACCGACGCTGGCGCCGCTCCCGAGTCCGGTAAAGTGACCGCCATTGCCGAATCCAGCGAAGGCGGCACCGCTGCTTAGACCACCGCTGCTTAGACCACCGCTGCTTAGACCACTGCTGCTTAGACCACCGCTGCTTAGACCACCGCTGCGTAGACCCCCGCTGCTTAGACCCCCACTGGAGAAACCACCGCTGCTTAGACCACCGCTGCTTAGACCCCCGCTGGAGAAACCACCGCTGCTTAGACCACCGCTGCTTAGACCCCCGCTGGAGAAACCACCGACGCTGCCGATACCACGACTGGTGGCGCCCTCTCCAGTGTAGACGTCAGAGTTGTCACTGAGTCCCCAGATTTGCTCGTTAAGGTCGTAGTTGTAGAGGGTCTTGGGTTGCTCGTAGTTGTAACCGGACCTGTAAAGCAACGATAGCAGACGAGTTAAAACAAACGAACGTGTGTGTGTACGTGCGTGCGTGCGTGCGTGCGCGTGTGTGCGCGTGTGTCGTTTGTGCGCGCGCCCTTGTACGTGTGTCGTGTGTGCGCGCGTCCTTGTACGTGTGCGTGCGTGCGTACGTACGTATGTGTGCGTGTTGTGTGTGTACCTGTAATTGCACGTCGTTACCTGTAATTATATATTCCGTTACCTGTTGCTTTACCTGTAATTGCATTTACCTGTAGCTGTAATACGTCATCTGTTTTTTATTTACCTCTAGTTGTATACGTCACCGGTAATTGTATTTACCTGTAGTTGTAATGCGTCGCCAGCAATTGTATTTACCTGTAGTTGTAGTCGTACTCGCGGCTCTTCGCTGCCGTCTGGTCTGCCGTTGCCTGGTCCTGGTTGTAGGCTGTTCCGATCGCCGTTCCCGACCTGTCATAGCTGAGCGACGCCTTGCGCTCTCCCAACCCGCGCAGGCCGCCGCTGCTCACGGGACCGTACACCTGTGTCGTGAAGTAACCCGGCGCCTGCGTCGATCCGTAGCCGTCGGCGCGGACGGTGGCGACGATGAGGACGGCAAATGTGAGCAGTGTCAGTTTCATGTTGTTTGTCTGCGGAAGGAAGACAGCGGCGGGGCACGGTGGTGTTAGTGCTTAGTAATAGTGGTGTTGGTGGCTGGTCCTCAGCTCCGCTATCGGCGTGCTGCTGGACTCTTTAAAAGGAAGAAGGATCTATCTATTTATCTATCAATCTATCTATCTATCTATCTATCTATCTATCTATCTATCTATCTATCTATCTATCTATCTATCTATCTATCTATCTATCTATCTATCTAGCTATCTCTCGATCTATCTATCTCTCTATCTATCTATCTATCTATCTATCTATCTATCTATCTATCTATCTATCTATCTATCTATCTATCTATCTATCTATCTATCCATCCATCCATC